TTCAGGTCTTCAGCATACTTTTATTTGAAGGTATTTTACAGCACTAGTTAAAGTCTACGGCAGAGGAATCAACACAGTCCCTCTCCTCCACTCATCTATTCATCACTGAAACTTTACAGATTTACAGAAACGACAGAGGAACAATGTCAGAAACAACAACAGAGCCATCACTTCCTGTCTCAGTCCGACCACCAACCTCAGAAGGTGGATTCTGATGCTGGATAAAGAGTGAGGAGAAGCTCCGAGGGTGAGCGCTACAAACATCATCAGTTCCTCGGCGTAACAACTTTACTGCAACCTCACTGGTAAACATCATCTTTGTTTGTACATTAGATTAAAAAATAATCTGTTTTATTATTTGAAGACTAAGATCTTCACGGTGAACGTTGTGATTTCCCTCCCTCGGTGCTAAACAGTCAGAAGGACTCGTGTTGCTTCAGGAGAAGATGGAAACCAGCTGTTTACTGTCACACATACGGCAGCAGCGCCTTTGCTCTGCCAACGTCAGACGTAGTCACCCCAAAGCAGGAAGCAGCACGGTTCTGTCCTGCCTCGTGTTGTCATGGAGGAAAACGCGGCGCTGTTCTGTGTAGCGTGTTACGTACATCATCCCACTGAACCCCCTGCTGATTCACGGTTCCCTCCAAAGTGCCTTCTTCAGTCTCGGCATTGTTGTCAACACGGTTTCTCTTTTCCTAAAACAGAATCACGCTTGTCCACAGAAATCAATACATGCTATAGTTAAACATGTCCAAGACGTTCGGTCTGACTTAGTGTTTCTACATTATTACAGAATATTTGGTAGCGGAGGAACCTGCTAAGGTGCCGGACCTGCGGCGGGGCTACGAGCAGCTCGTCACTGGGCCGTATGGGGTATGCCGCCGTATGGGGTATACCAGCTTATGTGGTATACCAGCATACGGGGTATACCAGCGTACGGGGTATACCAGCGTACGGGGTATACCAGCATACAGGGTATACCAGCGTATGTGGTATACCAGCGTATGTGGTATACCAGCGTACGTGGTATACCAGCGTACGGGGTATACCAGCGTACGTGGTATACCAGCATATGTGGTATACCAGCGTACGTGGTATACCAGCGTACGTGGTATACCAGCGTATGTGGTATACCAGTGTATGTGGTATACCAGCATATGTGGTATACCAGCGTACGTGGTATACCAGCGTACAGGGTATACCAGCGTGCAGGGTATAGCAGCGTACGGGGTATAGCAGCGTACGGGGTGTACCAGCATACAGGGTATACCAGCGTATGTGGTATACCAGCGTATGTGGTATACCAGCGTACGGGGTATACCAGCGTACTGGGTATAGCAGCGTACGGGGTACACCAGCATATGGGGTTTTCCAGCATACGGGGTATACCAGCGTACGGGGTGTACCAGCTTATGGGGTATACCAGTGTACGGGGTATACCAGCGTACTGGGTATAGCAGCGTACTGGGTATAGCAGCGTACGGGGTATACCAGCGTACGGGGTACACCAGCATACGGGCCATACTAGCGTACGGGGTGTACCAGCTTATGGGGTATACCAGTGTACGGGGTATATTAGCGTACAGGGTTTACCAGCATATGGGGTGCTGATGGTAAAGTAAAAACCTGACTATGAAAATAAAATGGAGTGTTGATTTTCAAAAGTCACCGTTTATCCACATTTATTTAGAACATAAAAGAAAAATCCTAATAACACAAGTAAATAAAAAAGTCGTGTAATTAAATAAATATGTATATTTAAAACTGTTGTAAATGTATAAATCTAACAGTTAAATATAAATATTGTATCTAATAAATACTTGGTAAATGAAATGAAGTACTTCCCAGAAACAAATGGGGCGCAGACCCCCCCCCACACACACACACACACACACACACTTTGACGGTGAGATTATGCGAATCCCTTTAATCATTTCTTTGCTGGATTTCAGGGTAGAAGGACATAATTTTAGATTGGGCATCCCCTCACCTGTTTTTAGCTAAGTCTGAATTTGTACGTTAGCTAAACTTGTAGCCTGAAACCATCGCAAACCCATTTAGATCGGATTCTGAATATTGTAGTGGTGACTCGTTGGGTCCAGGGTTGTGAAATGTAGCGTTTAGTTATTGAAGCCACTTCATGAGTTGCTGTACATCAGCGCCCGTACACAAGGCCGTGGTTTTCCTCTGGTGACTCACCGCAGCGGCACCGCTACGTTTCTAACAAGTCCGACATATCCCCGGTTAGGACAGATCGTGTGCCAGAGTCAGAAGGGAGGCGCCGATACGAGCAAACCCTGGGAGGTCGAGGCAAACCAGCGGAGACACGCTGAGACAGAAAGAGACAGGAAGACCTGCACATCCGTGCCTCATGAGACCCAGGTGAAGATCTTCTCATAAACATGTTTAACAGATCAGTTCCATGTTGGGATGTTTTCAACAGGTTTGCGTCTCCTGCAGTCACAGCCCAGTGAGATCCTGGAGTCCCAAACTGGGGCAGAGTGTGGACGTGCAGGTTCCCTCTCAATTGGACAGCGTGTCCAGCCCCAGAGACGCAGCGTGCTGCTTGGCCCTCAGACGCAGGCTCTCGATGCTGGTGGTCTTGCTGTTGTGGCTGCTGAGTCCGCCGGCGGCTGAGGCCTGCAGCAGCGGGCTGTTCCACACCTGCTGGGCATGATGGGACAGGGACTGGTAGTAGGACTGGCAGGGCAGGGAGCCCAGCGGAGCAGCAGGCATGTTCACGTTCATCCCCAGGTAGGGGAGTGAGGACGGGGCAGCCAGGTCAAAGGTCGGGTAGGGCACCAGGCTGTTGGTGGCGGCCATGTGATGGCGGAACTGCTCTTGCAGACGAAAGAGGCTGAGAGGAGAAGACGAGTAGGAGTGGCTCTGAGAGAGAGGAGCAGCGCTAGCCAGGCTGCTGCTGGAGGAGGAGGAGGAGGGCGTCACGGCAGGAGAAGCCAGAGGAGAATCTGGAAAAACACACGAGTTCTCATCACTATCGGGTCAGTGTGGCGCTGCTGAGTCTGAGTGCACATAGAGCTCCTACCTGGTTTAGGACTGAGACATTTGCAGGGCGAGGAGGCGTCTCGCTCACTCTTCACCTCCTCTCTGTTACATTTCCTCTTGTCCTCCTTATCTGTGATGTTATCTTCTGTGGCCGAGTCACTGCCCGAATGCTCCGCCGAGGTAACGTTCAGCTCCATGTCCAGAGGATCAGGGAGGCCCACAGCGCCCGCCGTCTCCAGGGTGGAGGAGGAGGAGGGAGGAAGCTGGGTGTCTGGTGGGTTGGTGGTGGAGGGAGGAGAGCCCTCCTTCTCACTCCCTCCTTCACCAGAGACCTCCTTCTGCTTCTGGAGCTGCTCCTTTTGCAGACTGCGCTGCTTCTTACGGAACTTGGCTCTGCGGTTCTTGAACCAAACCTGGAAACACAAACAGATCCAGATGTTGACGGAGCAGAGGAGGAGGTACCCCACCGTTCCTGGCCGGGTCCCCACAACGGCGTTCCCCTCCACATGCCCTACGCTCCACAGTCGTGTGGTGTTTAGACTTTTATCTTCTAGTTTCGTGTCCCGCTCTTTAGTTAATGCCATGTTCAGCGCCTTGGGCTCCTGTTTAGGCAGCGGACGGCGCCATACGAAGATGGTTTGTGTGTGACACATGCCATGGAGGAGGTTGGGAAATGAATGAAACACCTTCTGCTTCTATTTAACGTTTTAATATTTCCAATATTTCCTCAGATCATGGACATGTGAGAGCACCGGCCCCTCCTGGACCTACCTGCACTCGGGCCTCCGGCAGGTTGGTGCACATGGCCAGCCGCTCCCTCATCACCACATCTGGGTAGTGGGTCTTTTGGAAGGTCTTCTCCAGCGCCTCCAGCTGCTGGGCCGTGAAGGCCGTGCGGCTCCGTCGCTGTTTACGGTGCTGAGAGCCGTAGCGAGCTTCCAGGATGATGTCTTGAAATGCACAGCCGTTGGAAAAGAAAACACACGGCAAGTTTTATTCCCCCGGCGCCGGCCGACCCTGACGGAGGGTTAAGTATTTCCAAAATAAAAGCCAAACGAGTGTTTACGTACAAGTGATCCCATCCTAAACGAGCTGGTGTGTGTGTTTTATTCACGGCTTCATGACCACTTTTAGCCTCAAATAAAAACAATCTTCATGTTTAAAACGTTTAAGTCCTAAAAAATAAAGTTACACTGGTCTGCTCCAAACCAGAAGCAGCTTACCAAAATAAAAGCACAAAGAAGAGCTGTCACAGCTGATGTGTTTGGACTGAGGCTGAGTTACGAACACGTGACGTTATAATTGCATAACTAAATATAAAACTTGACTAAATCCAACAAATAAAACTGAACTTTACATTTTCTGGTTTTTAATGTTCCAGGATGAAGGAAACAGCCTTTAAACTTTCTCCTGGAACCCCTGACCTCTGACCTCTGAACGCGCGCACTTACCTGCCAGTCTCTCGGCCAGTGTGAGCGCGTGGACGGAGGGCCGGTAGTCGGGCGCCTGCTGCGCGGCCTGCTGGTGCAGGTTGTACATGGCGCTCAGAGAGCTCATGGCGTGCAGCGAGTAGCCGTTCACCCCGTAGTGCTGCATTGTGGCGGGGGGCACCTGAGGAGAGAACCGGATGTGGAGGTCAGATGGAGCAGGAGGGGGGGGGGGGGGGGGGGGGGCAGATCCCACGAGACCATCTGGTTTTAATGGTCCCACTAAGAATAAAGCGTTATCCATTAACATCCAATTATGGCTCCTTTCGATCCATTAATTATGAAGACTTTTTAATTGGAGTAATTATCACGCGTCCGGTACCCAACCGTGACGGAGCGCGTCCATCACCGGAGCTCCGCTCACACGGGTAGACTGGGTGTTAACGGCCGAGCAGCGGGCCGCCAGTGTCTTTGTTAACGTTGTTATTTATGGAGCACACACACACACACACACACACACACACACACACACACACACACACACACACTCTCTCTGACTTCTAACCTGATTGAGTCTGACCTTTGACCCGGCCCTGGGTCCACGTGTGTGGACGTTTTTATTTACGGACCCCAGATTGACTTGAATTCTACATTTTTGTTGTCTTTCTGATTTTAGGATATTTTTCATTTTTATTTCTTTTCATTTTTATAGTTTTAATTCGGTTTCCGTTAATGACGTCTGCACCAGCCCCGCGTGTTTCCCGTCCATCACACCAAGCGTCCCAGGAGCAGGAACAATGGGCGGCGCCAGGCGGTAGCTATTGGGCCAAGCAACCCCAACACTTTAACGCACCCCCACCCTCACCCCACCCCACACCCCGCGTGCACGCTGGCCTGGAGAGTAGCATGACCAGGGTCTGTCTCGCATTTAAGACAGTCTCCCGTTTCGTGTTTGAATCTTCCATAAACTGCGTGGAGAAAGCCGGAGCTGGCATCAAACCAGGAGGCCGGACATGGGGGGGGGGGGGGGGGGGGGGGGCTTGGACCTAGCCTGGCAAGCCAGACTAAATAAATGTATTATTAGTCTGGCCACGCTCCATTGGCGGCTCTCGGTTGTGGGGCGGGTTCTACCGTTGTCTACTGGACAATGAATGTGACATCCTCTTGTTTCACTCTGTTGCATCGTCCCACCCACCAGGCATATAGAGGGCCCTGATTGGCCCACAAAGCAGATAAAGCTCTGTGATTTGTTCACTAAGCAGATAGAGCACTATGATTGGCCCACCATTATGGACCAATCACAGCTCTTTATGTGTTTGAAACCCCTCTAGAGAGCTGTGATTGGCTAGCCAGAGTCCTGGTAGGAGCTGCGGAGGTTCCAGTGGAGCATGCCTAGACCATTCTTTGCAAAACAAGAGTTTGGTCTAGTTCACTAGGCTAGCATATGCCGAGAGAGCCGGGAAACTGTTCCCACCTATATCACATCATTTATGGACTCTCAGCTACCGGGGTTCTTTTTAGCGGAGAGCATCGAGAGCGGCAGAGCGCTGAGGTGTGCTCCAGGCAGCTGCATCCAGGCCACGGTCCATTCTCAAAGTGGTGCAACCAAAAAACTATAATTAACACACGATCGTTCATGTCTTCTGGTACTCTGTCTTTCAATCGTTCCTGACACGCTCCGCTCATCGTGTGCTGCGGTGATTTCACCTCACTGATGCAGCATCGACTCCGCTTTGCGGTCAGGAGATCTTTGATCTGCTCAGAAGTAACTGATGAGGTGAAACAGTAAGAATCCAGGCAGCAGATTTTCTGGAGAGTTTAGAGGAGATGCAGGAAGATGAGAGACAGACAGGACAGGAAATAGTTCAATAAAGACTAGAAAACAAAGTAAAATGTAGGTAGATTTATCTCCACTACACGTTTTTACCTGTATGAAACTTACACACATGTCATATTTATACATCTGTGTAGTTCCTACCCTCTCCAGGAGCGTTAGTTATACCGTGTTTGTAAAAGCCCCTCAGACATGACTGACACGTTCTAATATTATCAGATGAAGAACTACTTTATCAGACACGTCGTCTCATCTACTTCCTTCTAAACCCACAAAAGTCTGTCAGTAACAAAACCGATTAAGAGCCACTTATTGTGGATTCTCTGAAAGTTTCCATGGAGTCCGTGACAAACGTTGTTTTTCATTGATCCCATCGACTAATCTCACAGCTGAAACAAAGCATTCTTAATAATCTGAAGCTTTAACAACGCTGTAAAACACAAGGGATTATCATGTCGTATTAATATTACGTTGTTGCAGCACTGAAGCAGCAGAAAAATGAGATATTGTAATAAATATGCAAAATATTTACATATGAATTGATTTGGAGCCAGTTGGCAGAATGTGATGTTATTTTAGCTCTAAGCTGTTCTGACAGAACGCCGGGGAAATGGGGCTCAGCGTGGTTTGTGTGGCGCTGTCATATGAAAGGTAGGATTAAAATGTTCACCTTTTTCTGTACTTCATTTTGTTGCACTGGATTTAGGAAGTTTGGACCCCACCCCCCACCCCCACCGACTGAAACTGCTGGTAAAATTTCAGGTCAACCTGGAGCTGGAGCGGGTCTTTCAGGTGTTTACGGCTACCAGTCAGGGCAGGAATAATTAATAATTATAATACATATTATTATTATTCATCTTTCTATATCATTTATTTCACAATTTAACAGTTTCATCCGGAACACACCAGGCGTGCGCGTGCGTGTGACGCCTGCGGTGCCTGTTTCCATTAAGCGGTGTCTCGGCTGATGAACGTGATGGAGGGTTAATTCTCCCGGACAGAAGGTGCGTCGCTAAACATTTACTTTACTCCCCGAAGTGTTTGATTCTGATGCCCCCCACCCACCCACACACACACACACACACACACACACACACACACACACACACACACACACACACACACACACACACACCCTGGGGCAACGCGGGGCAGTGACGCATGGCTCCTCTGCGGGTTGAAGCAAAGGAAACATGCGTGTTGATCCCCGCTTGACTCTCCGCTAATGGAGGCGCTAATGGGTTCGAACTGGGGGGGGGGGGGGGGGGGGGGGGGGGTGTTCTCCATTTATCATCCTGGCTGACACGAACGGGCGGGACTGGCTGGGTGGTACCGAGTCCCGTGGGTCCGCGCATATTATTACCGGACCAGACCGGAACTTTTCCCCTTGAGTCATTTGGATGATAGAAAAATACACATGAATCATCACGTATTACAATAATAATATGAATAATACCTGGGTTATTATTATTATTATTATTATTATTATTATTATTATTATTATTATTATTATTATTATACTTAATAATAACTTGGTTATTATTATTATTATAGTTAATAATACCTAGGTTATTATTATTATTATTATGTTTATATTATTAATATGAATATTACTACTAGTAATAATAATAACAACCACCAAGATATTAGTAGGCTATAATAATAATATTAATAATAATAATAGCAATAATAATAATAATAATAATAATAATAATAATAATAATAATAATAATAATAATAATAATAATAATACCCTATGTATTATTAGGCTATAGCAATTATCAGTACTATTATTAATAATTATACTCCTCCTCCTACTACTACTACTAATACTAATGATAATAATAGTAATAATAATAACTTAGGTATTATTTGGCTATAGCAATTGTCAGTACTATTATTAATAATTATACTCCTCCTCCTCCTCCTCCTACTACTACTACTACTACTACTACTAATAATAATAATAATAATAATAATATTATTATTATTATTATTATTATTATTATTATTATTATTATTAATACCACTGCAGACCCTGACAGTTTAAAAAAAAACATCTCCAGCTGGAGCTTAAAGCCCGGATGAGAGCCGGTGTCGGCCCGCTGCCCTCCGGGCTCCGGTTGCTGCTGGGCCCTCCCGGCTACCGGCTCGGTACTCATCAAACCGTCATTATGAAAATGCGTCTCGTTCCGCGCGACTCTCATCCCAATAAACTGGGGAAAATGTTGATTCCCATCTGCCCGCCGGCTCGAACCGGCGCTGGTTCCGCGGACGCTTTCAGTCAGAGCGCAGAAATGATGAATGAGTTCAAACACCAAGTTTTAATTTCCTGTCATGTTCAGCTGAAGACTCGGTCAGCTTCAGGACACGTGCTGGCCTGTTTTAGAGGCTCGGTTCGGTTTGATTCTCTTATTTCTGATTGAATTAAACTGGCGTTACAGCCGGAACCAAGTTCCTCTAAATGTTTATTTCTTTATTCATCCAGTGAACTTCAGAGCTGCTCCGTTTGATTAAAAGTCCAAAATATTAGAAGAGATTTAAAACAAAATCACGTTTTTTACCTTTTTATCCTGGAAGCCCGGGTTCTGGACCCTCTTGGACCGGTTCGGGACTCTCTCTGACCGGTTCTGGACTCTCCTGGACTGGTTCGGGACTCTCTCTGACCGGTTCTGGACTCTCCTGGACTGGTTCGGGACTCTCTCTGACCGGTTCTGGACTCTCCTGGACTGGTTCGGGACTCTGCCGACCTGCCCCGGTCTCCGGTCCTCCCGGAGCCTTCTCCAGGGGCCTCGGTCCGGTGTTGAGGACACCGACCGGTGAAAAAAATCACTCTGATTCCGCTCGCTGGCTCGCGCTCCTCACCTCTTTGATGTGGTGGCGACACGCGCAGCTGAGGGGAGCCGTCATCTGCTGGAGCGCGTGAGCCCCGCGGAGGGATTTTAAAGAGCGCTCCGCGGGGGTCAACCCGGCACCTGATTGGCTCTCTGTGCTAGCAATCATTAGTTGCGCTGATAAACAACAGCAGCGCGTGACCAAAGGGACGGGTGAGCATCTTGTGAGTCTGATGACGTACCATTTACCTGTCCAGGTGTGTGACCCTGTCCCATCCGTCCCAGACGGGAAGCTTCCCGGTTTCCCCTCTGAGCAGCTGCGGCTGCTGGGGTTGGGTGAGAGGATAACGGCCTTCTCCTCATGGAGGATTTCTTCTCCGTCCAGGAGCGAAGGAAGGTCCAAGAGCCATGAAGGTACAGCTTTGGGCCCTTTACCGCAGCCCGCTGCACGCGCCGCGCAACGCCCTCCGTTGTCCGGGCAACAGGCTTTATTTAACGCGTTAGTAAAACGCAGAGATCTCGCAAAATGTTTGACCAAAGATTAAAAATCAGAAGTTTTCTTCTGATGAAAGATGATGTGATAAGTGAGGAGAGGGTTAGGCTGTTAGTGTGTTGGGCTTAATAAACGCCTGTCTGCGGTTTACAGTCAGTGTGAGCCGTTTATACTGTTGGGCTCTGGCTGGTTGTTCATGATAACAACAACAGTAATAATAATAACATTAGTAATAATAATAATAATTATTATTATTATTGTACTAGTAATAATAATAATATAATGATGATAATAATAATTAAATATAATAATAATAATAATAATAATAATAATATTAGTAAAAATAATAACAATTATTATTATACTAGTAATAATAATAATATAATAATAATAATAATAATATAATAATATAATAATAATGATAATATTAGTAAAAATAATAATAATTATTATTATACTAGTAATAATAATAATATAATAATAATAATAATAATATAATAATAATAATAATAATTAAATATAATATTAATAATAATAATAATAATAATAATAATAATAATGATGATGATGATGATGATGATGATGATGCTAGTCGTGCCTCCCAGTACAGGTGGTTTCATTCCCAGGAAAACGGACTGGTCTCTCCGGGACAGAAACGGGATTAACGTGTGAACCGGTGGAAACGGGAACTGAAACGGGAGGTAAATCTGGCCTCTGTCTCTCTCTGAGCACCATCTCTAAAGCAATTAAAGCGAGAAAGCGCTTCTCCTAAAGCTGGGGGGCTGCCCAGCGCGTCTGAAGCGCTTAGGACTCCCCGATCCTCACGCGCACACGCACGCGGACACGTTTGGAAAGTTTTAGCGCGCGGACTCTAAAGTTTCTCCTCTAATAGCTGATTAATATTCTTAATGGTGTTTCTGTGACTTCACCATTCAAGGGTATTCCCGCATCTGTTCCTGCAGCCATTAATCATTCTGATTCGTGGGCTAAAGTGACTTCTGCAGGGACCTCAGGAACAACAGCAGTTCAGCCAGGAGCCGGAGCTCAGACCCTGCAGCAGCAGCTCTCCTCTCCTTTAGCTGCTGGATCTAAAGGCTGGAGCTTTCCTGTCAGCACCTCAAATCCTTTTATTGGTGACAAGATCTCAGAATCTCCTCCGTAAATCCCTCCTCTAAAAGTTTTCCACCTGTCAAGTTTCCTCTCAACGCTGGATAATTCCCTCTCTTTTTCTCTCCCTTCATTCCCATCTCTCTTTCTTCTTGCTCTCCGTTCTCCCTTGTCTCAATCTCTCGGTTCTTCTGGCCTCTCCGTCTTCTCCCCTCTCTGGCCCGGGTCCCTCAGCACAAGGGGCCCTATTGTATGCTCTTAATCCCGAGGCAACACAGCTTTAGGGGCATGCAGGGATAAAAGGCCCATCAAGCCCACAACTTTATGGGGCAAATCTCTCCCTAATCCTTCGCTTTATCTAAACAAAAGCCCTCTGCCTTAATCCGCCTGTGTGTTGGAGAAGAGGAGGAAAACCAAGGAGAGTGGCAGAGAAGACGGGAGGAAAATCTCACTCTTTTGGTCTGAACCAGGGAGATCATCCTGGGAAGGTCAGCGTTTCCTGGCTGTCACCTGCAGCTCCAGCAGCACACCTGAGCCCAGATCCGTATGAACTCGTGGAGCCGAACCTTAGTTTCATGTTATGAGTTAAACAATAAAGCAGCCTAGTGGAAATCCTGGGAATTCTTCTTTAGTTCTTTGAGCTGATTAAATCGTACTGTTTAAAAGGGGTGTACTCACTTATGCTGGGCACTGAACATCCCATAATACCCCGACTGTTGTGGTGAATCTGTTCTCTGGTTCATCAGATTATTTCACGCAAACACGACCGTTTGTTGATTCTGGAAAAAAAACTGGTTCTGTTCTAAACAACAACAACAACAACAAACCTCCTCCTGCTTTGAACCTGATGGGATTTTTTATTCATAAATTAGTCAAAAACAACTTTTTGTCGTTTCACTGGTGAATCAGGCGTTGGTGATTTAGTGCTCTAAAGTAATGGGAGCTGCTGTCTGAGTGCCGAACGCAGTTTTACTCCCAGGTGGAGCGTTTGGGTGCAAATATCAGAAAAGTTTAGGTTGTTCCAACGGAAACGGGACAGAAGTGGAAGAGAAAGGGGAAGAGGAGGGGGGAGTTAACACAAATAAACGAAGAACGCACAAGAATCTGCTGATAGACCTGCAGAAAGAGAGAGAGACAAAACCGCAGAACCGGGATCTCTGCACCAACAACAGGATCAATATTTGCTGAAAAGCACACGGTCAGAGCTAGGGCTGTAACGGTACGCTTGAATCGAGTTCGGTTCAGTGTTTGGAAGAGCTCGGTTCGATAGATTTTCGATATATTATTATTATATTTATTTATTTAATATGTGAAGCGACTCCAATAGCGAGCAGAGCCAGGTGTCACCACAGGCTGCTGATCTATGATGTTATTTCACAGGTTATTAGTGCAGCCATGAGTGTCACGCTCATACAGACACGTGTTGTGTTTGACTGTTGATGCTCCTGTTTTTATTTCTGCAGCGAGCCTTGAAAACACCTGACACCGGCCAGAGTTTCTTCTGTAAAACTCGTATTAAACAAGGAGCTTCCTCCACGCCGTGTTTTTGTTGTAGGATGAAAACTTTACATCAGTTGTTCCAGGGCGAAGTTCAGCAGAAGGGAGGGAGGGGCAACACGACGCTCTCTTCAGCGTCTCTATGGCTCCTGTAGCAGCAACAGCCAGCTGGTTTGATCCGCTCTGAAAGGCCTTGATCAGAATTGGCAGATCATATCTTTTAAACAGAGATCGGGCGCGTGCAGCCATCATGCGTCACTCAAAACAGCGTCTGTGCGGAAACTTGCCTAGGAACTTTTATCCGCTGCACTTAAATCACACAAACAAAAATGCATCATTTAATGGAGAAAATAAACCAAAATGGTACGCAAGTGGGCCGAACCAAACAGGCTGAACCGACACGGTTCAACACCCCCTGTGAACCGTTACAGCCCTAGTAATAATTAGTTCATGGTGTATTTAGTGCCAACCATAGCTCAATGTGTCAAAAACACCATCCATTCTTGTGAAAGCACCACGTGAGCACTTGTGTGCGTACACGTGCTTGTGTATGTAAGGTTTCTCTACAGGTGCATCCAATAGCAAATGGCCACAGAACTGCCCCCAAAGACCCATGGAAGATGGAGGAGAGCCAAGCCCCAGACAATCAGAGGTCCCATGGAACTGTAGCGTTATGGATTTATGCTCTTTTATGAAAGAGAAACCATGCTACGTATTAATTCGGAATATTAATTTTAATAAATCAATAACCAAATTTTATATTGTTCAGAAGACTCAAAGGTTGTTTTCATCCATAAACTGCCGATAATATCTGAGTGTCTGTGTTTCAGTTCAATGAGGAAACCAGTTTGACGTTTAAAAGTTTTAATTCTTCAAATTAAACTAATGATTTTGAAATTGACAAACAGGAAATACAATCAACATTAGTCACTTTGTGGGACAATCTCTTTAACAGTTGATATGCTGTTCTGGCTCAAATAGACCTTCTGATGAATTTATGAAGATTGAGAATGTTGTGATGGTGAGAGTGATATGAGCTGGGATGGGTGCGTGAGTGCATCTGATTTTGCTTCAGGAAGAACCAGGTGTCTGAGTGAAAAGTGATGGTTTGAATAAACTTAGGCTCTTAGTTGGAAAAGATGCATCAAAACGCTAAACACCGTGTTCTGTCTCACCGAATTCTTTTGGACCCTCTTTCGGATCCGGGGCGTCACCTTAGGATGTTTCATCCAGGGCACCTTGGCTGGCAGAAAAGACAAAGATGCGCTGCGACCCGGTCCAGAGTTGTCCTCGGTACACGTTGATGGTAAAGCGTTTTGTCGACGCGCTTTCTTAAGTTAATTCACTCAGAAATCAAAAGACTCGGTAATGAGTCTTCGTTAGAAGTCGCGATTCAGCTATTCTGCCTGGCTTGGCAGAAACAGCGTGAAAGGGGGGAAGAACGAGCCAACAGGCTCTGCCCCCCCTTTGGTTTTCAGGTCTGTTCTCTCTCGTTGTCCAACACGAACTGAATCATAAGACTGAAAACTTACCAAAAACCTTTCTCTTCTCAAAGCAAACGTGCGTCATCAAATGTGTCTGGAGTTTACTGTGGGCAAGATGTGTGTGGGTGTGTGTGAATGTTTGTGCTTGAGTGTGTGTGAAGGTCAGTAACAAACATTCTCAACATTATTTAAGAATGGATTCATTAAACCATTATAATTACCCCAAAGCTAAATAGTCATTCATTTGATTAAACACATTTATAATGAGCAAAATGATAATGTTATTTTAACATTAAAATCAAGAAAAAGAAGTTTAAACTTTATGTTTTGACTTGGTCTGGGTACAACTCATGTAAACACATCTTCTGGTAGACTGCAGGTG